ACTTGTACTTATACCCGTCTCCTGCATGCCATTACTGATTGCCAATACGTTTCTAGTACCTACAAAGCAGGCAACAAACAATCCTCTTCCAACTAATCTGCAAACTTTCAAACATTCCCTTGGTTCATCACAACCAAGAGTACTGGTTGAACCGAACTAAAGCATGCATAATAAAAAAACCGATAATCTGCGATTCGCCGGTGATCTCTGATTTTACAAACGAGAGGGATACAGGAACATAAGATAAGCAGTTTTTATAAGAATTATCAAGTTACTTAATTACTGACCTTGTCAATCTTACAGTGCAGGCGACCAGCGGCAATAAGCGCGATAATCCGTTGTCAATAAAACCAGCCGTAACACCGAAAGCCTGGACGATGCAATCGAGCGTTAAGAATTGATCCACCAGCTGATTAGTTGTAGACGAGGATACGCATTTTCCGAGTGTAGTAGCGGTAATGGTCAGCCCACTACCGGTCCACTTCCAAAATCTGCTGAACGTTTGTTGTAATTTAAATAAAATCACAAAAATTGTTTAGAACTTCAAATTACCTTTTCGGAAAGAAAAACCTACCCAGCTGTAGAAACAATTCAGCATAATGCGATCCGTACAACGAGCTGAAAAGCTGTCGCAAATTCGGCATTCTAAGCAAACCTTCCACAATCTCCGCGCTCCGGACACACCTATTACAATGGTATTTGATTAGCAACATAATAAGAAGCAGCCGCCATAGTTACAACTTGGGACGAAATGGTCGCATACCCAACATCTCCACATTCAGTACGAATGCAGCGCAGTGCACTGTACGACTGAGTTCAAAATATCCGTTTCGTACAAGTGCACTGCACCGCTTGCGTACAGAATGCTGGGTACGGGGCTATGCAACCATTTGGTCCTACATCGTATGTATTCGATCCAGCCGCAATGAAAGCTGCAAAACCGTATAATAGTCTCCGAACAGGTAAATGTGCTAACTGAGCCCAGAAAATTGGTGGTGGCTTTCAGAAACTCACGCATCTTCATGCCTCGTACACCTTCAGCCGGTTTCGCCGATCCCAATCACCGCCCTCCTCTACCAAGCTGTGCATAAAAAAAAGAACCGCTCATAAGAAATCGCAAAATCATAACAAAACTAGCAAAATCACAGTTATGCGCAGAAATTTCTGAAAATAAGTATACGTAGAGAAGCCAAGCATTACGTACCTCCGTGCTTAATTTAAAGCAGGTACGTTAGTTGTTGTCTGTCCTACGGTCTTTTTAAAGCACTGTCGAAACGCACTTTCAGATGCATCCTAGTGTGAAACAAGTTGGGCATTCGCAAGAACGAGGATTTTTTTAACATTCTTCCACCTTGTCTCCAGGGCGGGAAAGATAATTAAACTGTGCAAGGTACGCTTCGCGCACTTTAATAGATCCCAAATTCTGTTAGGCATCCAAAATTGGCGCGTCAAGTTCCTTAAGTTTCTGCTCGTTCTTTTGCTACAGTCGGTTAAGTAAAGAAGTGTCCGCATTAAACCCATACGTTTTTTAACGTCGAAAAAAACATTGGCAGCCTCACGACTCCCAATTCTTGCTTCCAGCAAGATTAAAGATTCCCAACACTACTTGAAAAACCGCAGGAAATGAAAAATATATTTCCATTTGATAACGAAATTTTTTTTAGCAGCTTCTGATTTTACACCGCCTCTGAGCCATTGAGCGCATGCTCTGACTGGTCTTCTAGAAGCGGTACAACGCAACGGCTTCCTTCCACGGATTTTCAACTGCGATAACGGATTACCAACGACTTACCACATTGTCCTTTTCTGCTGCTCTTCCAAATCCAGGCTCTGTAGCTGAGTGTAGCGTAATGTGGCATCTCTACAATCTCTACTACGCTTCAGTTCCACGAGAATATCGTTATCTGGTGGCAACTGTTTCTGCTCCATGGCCATGTACTGGCATAACACAGAACGATCCAGGAACATATGCACAGCGCTGACAATAAACGCGCCATCGATCTTGCCAACGGGGTTGAACTTCGTCACGGCTGATATCAACAAAACTTGAACCTCCATCTAATATGCGCAAAAAAAATCTTACTGCATCCACCATTCCCAGATTGGGTTGGGATCAGGAAGGTTGGGGGGTTCGGGTTAAAATTCTCAAATGAAACCACGTAGCGAACTGGGCCGGCTGAACCTGGAATAATGGATACTAAATCAATAAAAATGAAATTAAAAATTTATTAATCGAAAATTTAAAAATGGAACACACGAAAACAAAACAATAAACAAAACCAAAATGAAAATCAAAAATTGCGCACATGTGCAAACGTCAAAACATGAAATCGTGCACACGTGCGAATCGTGAAAATGTGCAAACGCGACAAACTGGCAAACGAGAAAACTCGAAAACTTGAAAAACGGCTGCTGACCCAAACGGACCGCCATAAAGCCAAGCACTAAAATTTTACAGAATCAAAAGGAAAATTGGGAACTGAGCTGCAACCAAAGCTGTGATTCAGTATTTCAGTTGGAGCATTCAAACTTTTGAACGACTTTAAAATTTTTGTCCAGTTTTCATAGTTGGCAACTTGGCATCAGTTGTTCTGGCATCAGTTGTTCAGAACAACTGATAGACGCTTTAGCCTTTATTATGCACGGTAAAAATTATTAGGGAGCACAGATTTTCAAGTAGCCGGCCTCCGGAATAGATCGAAGGAAAGCACAACACCTTGCGTCTTCCCTGGTACAGTGTTCGATTTGTTTTCGATGGGGTCAGTACTCAGTAATAAGATATAATTTTGCATAGACTATGTTTTGGTACTAGTACCGGTACACAAATTTAATTTTGCGGTTTTCCAACACTCAATGAGCCATCAATAACAAAAGTACGAAATATTTACTCGGATCTCGGTTAATAATTCTGGAGCCTTCTTGGTGGTAACTACTAACTGGTAAGTTGTGACAAAGCAAAATTTTTTCATTTTCCGACCATTAGTGATTAGCTTCATAGAAAGATGAAAATCTTCTTAGGCTATTTGTATTTTCCGTGGATAAGCTTGCGTGTTGGAAATAGAAGAATGAATCGTAACTCCGAAACGTCTGTGTCCGGTAAAATGGAAAACGAACTTAGTTCTGGTTTATTTACTGTGAATCCCGAAATACGAGCAAAAATGGAGGATGTCACGGAAATGCAGATAGTGGAGTGCCAGAAGTCAATGTACATCAAGCCGATGACGATGCTTTATAAACAGGTATCACTTGATGACTAGAAGGAAGTCATTTGAAAATTACAACAGACAGTATATAGCATACATGATAAATATAGATATGATAATTTTATCAATAAATTTACGGTACTCTTTATTGCTTCATTTCTGGAAGAGTTCTACTCTATTAGCACAGTACAGATACTAATAAGAAACTGTTACTTTATCAGCCTTTATGATATAGCACAGCGGTGGTAAGCTTTGGTTTAATATTGTACAACTAATTTAACTTTTTTAGAACGGAAGAAAAAAGTTTTGGGATTTCATTAAAACTCACGACAGGTATGGAGTGTGTCCCAGTCTCTGAAGCACCAAGAATTTTACAAATTCCTACGCACACATGTTATTCCTGTCTTTCGATTTCTAGTGTCAGCATCATTATTTATAATCGCACCAAACATGCGCTTGTGTTTGTCAAGCAGTTCCGACCAGGTACAGCACTTATAAAAATGTTAGTGCCAGAGCTCGCGAATGTATCACTTGCTTCGAAAAAACTTTTTGGTTTATTTCTTTTATTAAGTACTCTCTTCACCAACAATTTTACTTTAAATTCGAAAACAGTCACTTAATAACTAATAGGCATCAATCGAAAGGGGCGGTCTAATAAGAGAGAAAATTTGAGCTAAATTTGCTCTCATCGGCGCTGTCCCCATGATCAGTGCCGCATTTCCTCGTTGGATTTCGATGCTGATCCGCTGGCGAATATACTCCGTGGTTAGTTTTTCGCCGGTTTCTAGTCGTATCTTCTGTCCAAATTCCGTTACCCTTATAGAAAATCTGTCTACGGCGAAAGATTTCAGTGATCTCAGTGATTTGGGTATCACAGTATCAGTACTACCGGTATCAGTGATTTCAATATGTAGTGCTAACAAATTTCGTGTTATCTGTGTAACATGTCTGAAATATGTATTTTTATAGCCACATATTTGTAAGTACGTTTGTAAGTGTATCTAGTACTGTATTAAATTTTTAAGAACTGGAATGAAAAGAATGTTTGTATACTTACGTTTATGAACAGTTCTGTTGCCTAACATGCAGATGAAGCGTAGCGGCATTAATACGTACCCTCCTCGAATAACGGGTTACGGCTACTTTACTTGTTTGTTTGCCAAGTAACGAAAAATTCCGCGCCTTCAAAATTATTTTTTTTCTTATATATTTCGTAATACAGTTTATATAAAGTAGTGGGTTTTGTTATTCAGGCGTCTATATCCATAACACAGACTGGACGGTTGGGAAAGCAACAGTGGACGTGTCGAAATTTCCGATATCTGCCGGAGTTACTTACGAGTTATGTGCCGGGATCGTGGACAAAGATTTACCCCTCGAAGTGATCGCTCAGCAAGAAGTATTCGAAGAAACTGGCTACTCCGTTCGGGCCGAAGATCTGAGCGGATCACATCCATGAGGTAGGATGTAGAGAGCAAAACAGTATTATAAAAAATGTATTATTGGTGTGTATTAATACACAGCTGACATCATTCTCTGCAGAAGCGGCGTGGGAATAGCTGAAGCCTCCAGACCGTCTACTACGTGGAAGTGGAGGATAGTCAACGCACGACAACCGGCGGGGGCAGCGATAGAAGAAGTTCCCCTGGCTCGTGTACGGACTATGATGTATGATGAAAAATTAGCGCGGCCTGGCGGTTTCATGTTTGCAATGATGTGGTTCTTCATGCATAAATTTCCCGAAGAATATTTTCATAAAGAAAGCACAACGGCATCGACATGATACCGGTAACGAAGGCATTTGTTGTTTGCATTTACTGTAACTTGTACTATCATAATGTCAGATTAATATCAGTAAAAATAATAATGTTACATTAGTAAAATACTTCATAAGAGAATTTATATCGATTTATGAGTGCATTAAAAAGTCATAAAGCTCCATGAAAAGGATATAAATCGTTATCACAATGTGCCAAGGCACGGCTACTTCTATTTAACACCCGATCTGCCAGGATACATTCGGACAGTCACATCACTGAACGCCGCCGTATCCTTGGATGACCCGCTTCTACGTAAAAGCAGTCCTCTATCCTCGGTCATGGCCGCCTGAATTGATTTCGCTACTGGAGGCGGATGTTTCGATTTGGTAGTTATCACAGCCGGGTGCGGAAAAGACAATTCTTTTAAATATCCTTTGTATTCATCGCTCAGTGCGGTCATCCAGAATCGCATGACACCATTGTCCTCATCTGCTATGTGGAGCTTCTGCATGATGATCGGAAGTTCATCAGCACTGCGAGATTCCGTTCGAAAGAGCTTGTATAACACTTTGGCTTTGCTGTAGAAAATAGTGTTAAGCGCAAAATTAATACAATGCAATTCGTGCCTGAAGTGCGATTACCTTAGCATGCGCTCCTGCTCGTTAGCGATCAAAGCGACAGCAACCTGTTCGGCAATATCGGGCTCTTCCAAGATTCGTTCCACCCGGGATAAATAAGTGGGCACTGTGAAAAATACCGAATTTTCTTAACATTAAACATCAAGATAATTAGCATTAAACATCAAGATTATTTTTCAACAGTCAGTACATTTAACTTTTGGAACGGCCGCATTCGGCGTGATGATCTTATATTTATCCACATTCATTTCATTCATCTTAGCAGCCAAAACATCCACCACAAAATAATCCGGGCTACTCAAAATATCGTCTGGCATGGCTGCATCGGGGTGCAATCCCAGCAGGTTGCAATTCCAGGACAACACGTACGTACTGGAGAATGGAATACTTCTTCGGCAACCAAAAGGAATCAATACCTGCAAAAGCTTTTTCAGTATGGAACTTAAGGAAGGACTGACTTCAGCTAATGACCAGTTGACCACACCTCAATGGCTCGTATAACAGAAGAGATCAAGAAATCATGAAATCCGCGCACTACGATCTGATTCCCGATGGTAATGTGATACGCGAGTTTCAAAAACGATACCTTCCCCATCACCTACAACGACGAGCCGCAATGTCACTTCCAAGCGCACAGTGATAGAAAAAGTACAGCTTCAACCAGAAGATATCTAACCCGATAAATATGAACAATTCCCTCGAAGCGGGGAAAGGAAGTGTCTATTTCAGATTCCCAAGTAGGAGATGACATGGCACTGTCCAGGCCGTTTTCCATCAGCGAGCCTTGCCGGCTGTGGTTGTTGATACCGGCCAAACCGTTGTCGAAATCATCTGGCAAAGGCACACTATTAAAAAGACCCTACGAGTTGAAAATCATCAAATATCGAACCTTCTCGATGACTGTAAGAACAAGAAGGAGAACCTTCCAATAACGTTTCGCTCATTTGATTTCCACCCAACTGCAGCATGTGGGTAAAATGTTCATGCAAACAGTGGAAGATATTCGGCTCAGAAGTCAGTTCTGGCAACGAGCGCATCACTTTGCCTCGGCGCTGCCGGCGGAAGTTCTCCGGGTTCAGGGCACCTGCCCCACCTAATCGCGCCGTACGTTGCGGTCTTTCCGCCTGATCCACACTGAAAGTCTTCTCCGCCAAAGCCTGCATTTGTGCAACTATAGACCGCGATGAGCGCGTTAAAAATGGCCATGATTGGGTTAGGGATAACTTATCCATGGACAGCACGACAATGCTGTACCAACGCTGTAGCCCACGTGCTTCGTTGTCTTTCAAATAGAATGTGTAGCAATAAACATAACCATGATGATTATCGCCAAACATTATGGGTCCTTCTCTTCCCGGGGATATCTACATACCGATGTAACACAGGTTTAGCAAGGTTACAGGAATCAGTAGAAACAAGCAGGGCGAGCATGGACAGGAAAATTGTTGTTGGTTGTAAACTTGTACGTAAATTATAAATATGCTGTAAGTTTGTTGTTAGTAAATATGTTTCAAGTTGTATTGTATACTGAGAGACTAGATGCTTTACTTCGTGAAAGAATAACTGGTGATGTGAAAAGAGAGACAGACCTGCAAAACGGATCGCTTATGCTTGTAGCACAAGCGGTTAACATACCTCGCTGCTCAAACTCCGGACGCACGCTTGCCGTAAAAACGTGAACACTTCGGGATTGTAGGGGTACTGTAGCGTCAGATACCACACATCCCCATCCTTATCGGCTGTCATACATCCCTGGTTAGGTTTCGCGAACGACCGACATGCCTAAAACATCAATCTGTCCTTGCGCAATAATCAGCGTCCACATTCTTAAAGCCTCACTCAAAACTAAGCAACCAAAACCTAACGGACCGGAAGAATGCTCTTTGCAAGGCATTTTTACTAATTCTTGGAAACGTATCACATAAAGAATAATAAAGTAATGAAAATAACACAAATACATATCAAGCAGATAGAAAAAAAAGAACTAAGTAACTTAAACTATGTTTGATTCCTCATCCTAACACTTAACAGTACTTATTAAGCCTGCCGTACCGCGCACGTATTGGTTCCAAATGAATCATGAGCTTCAAAGGTGTCAGATTCAGTCAACTCAGATTCGCTCTCCGAAACCGATAAGCGTTTTGTCTGTCCCGGTCGTTCTTCCGTACTTTCGTCCGTCGTTCGAGAATCGACTTCTGTTGCACCGTCCCGCGGGAACGGTTGCGTACACATCATCACACTGGGTCCGTGCATCTCACAAAAGTGGCAAAGCGCCAACACCGCGTTCATAGCTGCGAATATGTCTAACACAAACCAACCACGGCAGGGATGATTGGATTATTGGATAGTTCGGACGTAAGAAATTTCCTTCGCACGATTATGTACTGTACTTATCAAGATTCTGCGAAATTAGTATAGCAATTAACCATAAGGTATAAGTATAGTACTGTAACGGATCATAAAAGATGAAATCATAGTGGCATAATAAGGAACGATATCGATAAAACCGTTCTGACGGTCATGTGTATCTGTACTTCGGTATAGAAGTGTAGAATGAAGAATGCAGCTTTATTAATATTAGCCTTTATTATTAGTCTGCAGCCTAGAGCCCTGCAACGGACTGGGAAATCCGATCCACTCCGAACCCACTCCGATTTTCGGACCGGATTGGACGGATTTCAATCTGGAAAATTCGGAGTCGGAGTGGTTTCGGAGTTTTTGTGCACCTGATCGGATCGGATTCGGATGCAATCGAGACTCCGAATAATCCGTAATTAAATAAATATTATTTATTAATTTTGATTGAATTTCATCGGCCTTCAAAACAAAAATTTTCGTCAGCGTCGCGCTTCGCGCGATGCTTCCATTTGCGCTTAATTAATTTGCACCGAAGTATCTGCTTTTGTTTAGTAGACTGTTGTTAATTCTTTTTCATTTCCTTTTATTAAATCTCCTGACACTTTTGAATATTTAGAGTGTTTTGCGATTGTTATGATGTCGTTATTTGTTATCGTCTTATCAAATAATTTTAGTATAACTACTACAGCACGTTAAATAGGCCACATGTGTTGTGCAGCTCAGTCAGTTTCACTAGGCACCGGCTTCCCATTTTTATTTGCAGCACTTGTAATTGGATTAATCCTGGAGATTAAGATAACTAACTAAACTTACTCTAAGGTCCTAAAGAATACATGAAACTACCAATTATTTTAGTTCCGGACGTGTAGAAACATCCCTTCCTTTAATTTTCTCTCCCGTTTTTTCAACCCTGGCTAATATGTGGGTAATCCGTGGGTGAACCGTATACAACAAAAGATCTGATACAGATTCCCGACAGTGAGGATAGATAACTAACCTGGCTACCGATCACTTCGGCCGTTTTCATTTCGGCCGCGTTCATTTCGGCCAAAGTTTTTCGGCTGCCATTCACTTCGGCCGTCATTCACTTCGGCCGTCATTCAGTTCGGCCGACGATCACTTCGGCCACAGTACATTTCGGCCGATGCTCATTTTAGTTTGATTCACAAGAAAACGTTACCTGCGATATAAATTTATCGGTTCCTGAAAACCATTGAATCAAAAAAATGATAGCAAATGGCTGCGTTCATATCATTTTGCACGCACAATTTGTTGAACTCTTCATATCGTAAAACGCTTCAGAATAACCTAAGAATACCCACGAAAACAAAAGAAAATCAAAGAAAACCTGAAAAAACCTAAGAAAACCTAATAATCCCAAGAAACCAAAGATACTCGTACTTTAGAAACCAACAATCCTAAGAAACCAAAGATACTCGTACTTTAGAAACCAACAATCCTAAGAAACCAAAGAAATCTAAAAACCAAAGAAACCTAAGAAAGTTAAGAAATCTAAGCAACCTAAGAAACCGAACAAACCGAACAAACCTACGAAACCTACGAAACCTAAGAAACCTAAGAAACCAAAGAAACCATAAAAACCTAAAAATCCCAGAAAACCTAGAAACGTAAGAAACCCAAGACACCTATGATGACCGAAATTTCCCGTTGCCAAAATGAGCGTTGGCCGAAGTGAGTGGCGGCGAATAGCCTCGGCCGAAATGAACGTTGGCCGAAGTGAACATTTGCGGCCGAAATGTAACGCGGCCGAAGTGATCGAACGCGAACTAACCTCCCCAGATGCTTCGACACTGTAGTGCTAAAAAACTAAATTTATCTAAAACATTCTTGTATATGTAAATCTTTCAGCGTACCCTTTATTATGCCCAAGAAAATTGTACTTGAATTCTGAAGTCTTTTTGCTACCGAAAACATGGCATTAAAAATTTTTAATGTAGGGATGTGTAATAAAATCAAGTAATACGTATTCTTTTCGAAAATTTTTTCGGATCGGATCGGAGTGGGTTCGGATTTGCCAAAAATATTTTCGGATCGGGTTATTTGAGTACGATTTTAGAATTCGGAGTCGGACTGGGTTCGGATAAAATTTTTTAAGTTCGGATCGGACTGGACGCAGTTTCGTACTCCGTTGCAGGGCACTACAGTGCAGCCTTTTCACTCAAATTCCAGATGCTACTATCACCATAGTCAAATATACCACCATAGTCAAAATGCTACTATCACCATAGCCCTCATGTAATTACACTGCTATCACTACTATCTTACAAAATTCGTACTGTACTGTACTACCCAGTTCTAACCTTCAGCGCACTGGGCAACCGCTCTGGGAGTAGTTTTTCAGGTACGATGAGAGCAGATATATATGTTAGTATATCTGCTCTCGTACGATTTCGCACCTCTACCGATGATCCAAAGTGCATAATATATTATTATTCACTTTGACTATGTTGAATCGTAATTTTCACCATTTTATTCACGGTCTAGAGTATGATAATTATGCCGTTTGAATTTTGAGAACTTTTGATTTCAGCAGAGTCCGGGAAAGACTACTTTTTCGAAGCCTACAGTTTCGAACATTTTGTTAGAATCTATCCAGAGTTTTCGGGATGCCTTCTCGGCCCAGCGATGCAACCTCGACTGCAACTCCAAATAGGAAGCTAATCAAGATTTCGCAGCGAAGCAGGCAAACCACAGCCAGCAAGGACAAGGTACAGTAAAAGTCTGTAAGTCAGTGCTTCCACGCCTGTTTTTAAGATTGTAGAACGCTTCTTGGGATAGTTTAGGAAATGTTATTTTTTTGTAGCAGAAAATAACTGGCGGCGCTCTCCAGAAACCCAAGCGCACCAAGAAGAAAGAGGTCCGACATAGAAACTTTTTTTTCCAGATCTCAATTTCATTGTTTATGCTGCCATCCTCGCACTATCAGTTCTATGATAATTTTGTAATGAGTATTGGCACATTGCTCCCTCTGGTTATTGATTTTCTGTATGTGTAAAGTTATTTGGATAAAATGATCGAGTGATTTCCTCAAGTTGTTTTTGTTTTCTTAGGTGCCAACTAAAAGCGACAAGGAAACACAGACTCTGCCTTGCAAAGGAACGCAAACACACGATGAGCTGTTACAAAGCCGGGAGGAGCAGTTCTTTCAGCTGCTGAAAGAACGGAAAGCGTCAAACGTAAGATACAACCAGGACTTTATAATATATAAAACTTTATTAATTATTAAGTGTATAAAATGATTGTAACGTACTGTACTGTCAGAGGCACATGACTGCGCCTGGTGCATACGGCCCACCATGGACGTACTGCACTCATGCTTGCCATACCGCCTCTCTCGCTGTACGTACGTGTGCTGCTGCACTGCACTCATACCCGCTGAAGCGGATATGCGCGGCGCACACACTGAGCATACTTGCTCTCTCGTCCCTCTCTCGCTGTATGACTCCAGCGTACGCTCGCGTTGGATTGAGTCCAGTCTGCGCATCATCACACAGCTGATGGCACACAGCACGTGCTTGCCGCCAGTTGCTTCTTTCACGCCTTGACGAACGCTCAAGAGCTCTTCTAGCATTCACTTGCTTGCTTAGCCATCAGTGCTTTGTTTTGCTTTCCCTGCTACGCAGCATTGTTCTTTATTTGTACAATAAAGCACATTCGTGATCTCCTCGCGCTTGCCTGTTACATGGTAAGCAGATCGTCTGGTTTTCCCACGGAATCTTTGAGGAGACGGTGAAGGCTCAAATTACGGAGAACTCGTGAAGAACCTGAAAGTCACTGTCAGATAGATTGCTGAAGCAATCTCTGCCTTGACTTTGATCAGACTGATCACATCGTCTTACAGCTGCGGAGAAACGAGGATCACTGAAGTGATTCTCCCCAGCTGGTGAGCACAGTCTTCTTGGCTCTTCCACATTGAAGAGCACATTCCCAACAGCACGGACTTTTCCCAACTGACGGATCAGACTCGAACGAGAGTCTGCAGCGCGAACGGATTACTCCAATTATACGGGGACCATCGGTTTGAACACCGACCCGCAACTTTACTCGCGGATTTTAGCACGGAAACGACGGATTTCCGACCTCGGACGGAGGAAATCGACCGGAACCGACACCGACACCGACACTGGTAAAGTCACGGTTATAGGTCGATTTTAGCCGAAACTAGGTCGGCATTTCACTTTCTAGTGGTAGAAAACAATTTCTATCCATAAAACTAAAATTTCTAACGGTGAAAAAGTAATTTTCGACGGAGAAACCGACTCGGAATTTTGCTTTTGGTCGAGAACCGACCTGCTAGGTCAACGAACCTGTCTAGACAGTTAGACAAAGGCTAACCGGCAACAGGTCGGAAATTCTCTTATTTTGATTTCTAACGGTGTTTGACCACCAGAAAATTTTCTTAATTAATAAAATTAATTTCTAACGGTTAAAAACTTCAAAATCCGAGCTAGATCGACCTTCTAGCCGAGTAAAAAATAATTTGTTTTTCTAACGGGAAATAGCGCGAAAATTCTCGAACTTCCTTGTGACGTCATAACGACCGCTTATCAGTACTTAAGAGGCAGCCAATCAGCGTGCAGGGAAAGTTCCCATAGCTTAACATAGGCGTGATTCATCGTTTTTGCAAATTTTGCACGCGGCTCGCATTCTGTGACGTAGGCAGAAGTGCAAGACCACTTAACCTGTTACGTCACATTGGTCAGCACAGTAATATAGGACGTACTACACTGTACTACTATTACGTACTGTACTGTACCATTGTACTGTATATTAATACCCTGTGTACTGAGTCACCAACAGACACATCAACAACAACAACAACATCTCACCGGACGGTCCTGACCCTTGGAAGTTCCTGAACAAAAAGACATTTTCTGATTTTGCCGAACATCTTCACACAGAAGATCGTTCGACTTTTTCTTTCTAACTGATTAAACTTTTAAGGCTCCACCAGAGCCGACCTGATTTGACAACAATGTCGAATCCTCGAGAAGATCAGTACGCGAGAAAGTTCAACACGGACTATTCTCGGCGTGCGAACATGACCGGGAAGTACTCACTTCGGTACGCCGGTCAAGACAAAAGTCAGCCGTCCTCAACCGACTCGACTAAGTCGGCCGAAGCAAAGGAGAGACGCAACGAACGGATCCTCCTTGCCGACTCGAATCCGACCTCGGATGACAGTTTCGAGGACGCCAGGGATAAAACATTCCTGGACACCCAAGCTGACGTAGCAGCCCCGTCCCACCCGACCGGGGGGGATGTGGAACAGCTGCAGGCAGAGACCACATTGTCTCATGCCGACCAACAGTCGAGCTCACACAGAGCTCCAGACTCGGTAACGGTCACAAAGACAACCGAGCTCGGACGGCATTCACCCAACAGGACGGAAGAGGTGCCGAAGCCGACTTCGCCCAACATGGATGTTCCGACTAACCAAGTCGGAAGGAAATCGCCGACCACACAGGCCGAGCGAAAATCTCCGACTAAGCAAGTCGGTGAACAACAACCGACTACGGTGGCCGACCAACAAATGGTCGACCAACCTTCGGCAAAGGAAGTCGACCAACCGAAGGTCGACCTACCACTAACGAAAGAGGTCGGACAACCGACCTCGAACGGAAGGGAGAAACCGACAACAGAAGTCGGCAACGTCCAACCGACCACACAGGTCGGAAGGATTTCGCCAAACTCCAAGGTCGGACAACAGACGCCGACCACGGAGGTCGGAGAAAAGGAAGTCGGTAACAAGCAACCGACTAGCTCGGAACGGCAACCAACCGACACAAAGTCGGATGCGGCCGTCCAGTCGACTAAATCACCGGCAGGAACGAAAGATTCCGAGGTACCGCCACGAAGCGGCCCTCACCCAGCTGGATCGCCGACTAACATGCCGGCACCCGACGAACGGGTAATTTCGCCGTTGAGCCGACCTTCGCCAACCGGAAGCGAGTCGACTCGAGCAACCGAAGCTCAACAAACGGTGAAGTCGACTAAGGCGACACAAAGTCGACCTGTCGACCAGACACTTAGATCGTCACCACCGATGTTCGAAACGGGCGAACTCGGCAGTACTCCGTCACCGACGAACGAAGTCTTTGAGGCAACAAATGCATCAAGACCGAGTAGTGCGGACGGATTCTTCACAACACCACCTAAGTCCGATAAGGAGAGCCTTGGCTACCAGGCCAGCGCACTCGAATACACGGCTAAGAAGTGGATCGCGGCAACACCGCCCGAAAAGATCAACGATCTCGACCTACTCCGAGCGAGATGCCATAAACTGATCACACAGATCGTTTTGGCGGACAAAATCGTCGACTCGGCAGAAGGATCCCTCCGAAACTCGGAGGACACCCATAAGCTCGAACGGAGGAAATGGGAACGAGACATGGCCGATGCCAACAAGGGCATCGCCACCCAACAACGGGAAATCGATCGGCTCAATGCCATACTGAAGCGTACCGACCAACCGTGTCGGCACGACATCGATGAAGCCACTACACTCAAGGGCATGTTGGATCGATCTATGGAAGCGGTCCACGAGTTAAACCGAGAACTCACCGGAGCGAACAAAGCGCTCGAAGAAGCACAGAAAGACCTGGCCGATGTTCAGACCGCACTGGTCGAGTCGGAACAGGCAGCAGGAGCGTTTCACCGGCAACTTAACCAGGCCAACGAAGAGGCCGAGGTCTACCGAAACGAAGTCGATAGATACGTGGTGGAGCTAAAGAAGGCCGATAACGAGATCGACCGACTGACACAACGAGTCGACGAACTCGAGTCGGAGATAGAACTCCTTTTCGTCAGAATGGGACGTCGGTTCATTGACGAGAATGCTCGGGACATGGGCTTTCCTAACCAAAGGACAGCCGATGTCGACCTGGTGGAAGCAAACGCCCAGCTAGCCGACCAGGTCCACGGACTGAACAAGGTCCTCAAGGAGGAACAGAAACTCCGAGCACAACTGGAGCACAACCTGAACGAGGCCCAGAAGGTAAACGAGGCGCAACACAGCCGCATCCTTTACCTTGAGGCTCGTGAAACCGAGCTGTACGAATTCGGCGAACAGGCCGCCCGCAACCTCACAGACATGATGCGGCAAATGGACGAGATGGACACGGAAACACGGTGTCTGAGGGAGGAAAAGAAACACCTGGAACAAAGCCAGGTTGAGCTTCCTCCATACCAGGAGCAAAGTCGGGCTGAACCTCCTTCATACCGGACGTCTATAGCACAGGATCAACAGCCGTCACGAACAATCAGTGACATCCTGTGGGGAATCAACGACCCAAGAAATGGCGAAGAGAACAACACCTCCTACTTCGTCGTACACCGACCCGAATGTGGGAACAATCCCACAACCACCAACTGTACCGAGTGCTCCGGAACTGGAACACAACACGTCGACCGCGGCACCACGAGTGCCAACGACGAACGTGGCGACAACAATGTCGGCCGGTGCATACACTATACCTCGTACGCGACGCACAACAATGTACGCGCCGGTACCCAATACCAGAGGAGATCGGACAACGGACGCTGAACGTCTCCCAATCCAGCCACCACGACCTGGCATGGAGGCATATCGCCCACCACGGACGAATTCCAATCCGAACCTGCTCCGTCAAACCTGCAGTTCGACTCCGAGCGCGGGCGAGCTCGGTCATTCAACACGGCTGACCAGCAGCAGGACGGAAGAAATGGAGAAGATAGCTCCGACCAGCAAGGCCGGAGACCTCCATACCGACCCACACAAAGTCGGATGCCGGCTCAGGGACACAGCCCGACCGGTACGGAAGAGTCACGATCAGCCAAGGGATTCTATCCGTCGGCGCCGAGACAAAATCGAGCGCCACCTCCACCGCAGAATCAGTACGAGGACAGCCACAACAGCCTCGTCACGCAGACCAGGCTCGGTATCCGCAACAGGACGGATACAACGGCCATTACGATGAAGCCTACCAACAGGAGGCGTACGAAGACCAACAAGGTCACATGCCAAATGCTAACCCACCACCTGCCCCGGCTGCACAACAAGTTGCGCCGGCGGCAAATCCGATTCTGGCACAGGATCCAGCGCACGTTGCCTTGATCCGCGCAGACCCACGGACGTCGACAACCTTTACCGCCGTTCGACGGAGACCACACCAAACTTCATGGGTGGCTTAAGCAGATTCGAAGCCTGTATCGTCAAGCCCAACAATGGTACGAAGACGATCAGACCTTCATGGCCGACGGAGCATTGGCGAGC